AAGGCCTAGTCGGTCGGAGGATTTTGATTGTGTTACGATGAAATTAAGCTGATACCTCCATAACGGTCTGTAATATTTTTCTGATTCTTTCACTTTGGGGGTTATTCTATAGTTTCTCTTTATACTCTGCTGGCCTCGACTGATCTCCCCTCCGTCCCCCCTGAAAATCATGTGATTCCCCTAAAATCCTCTGACCCCCTCCCCACGGGTGATCAATTGGTGTCTTACACATGCGCAGATTGAATATATCTTCTATTTGAAACCTCTTCAACCAAGACTGTTACTGAAACTATTTGAAAGACGCATGCACATACAGTGTGGGTAACATGATAGCTTTTATCATGATGTAAATTTTCCGTTGTCGACGCGTCGCTTTTTCAAATCAAAAGTTCTTTGTTTACCACAACAAGGTAACATAAAGTTAACTTACAGCACTGACTAATGAAGACAAAAATGTCGCGCATGTTTTTCGTCCGTTCGCGCATAAAAGTCGTATATGCGCGTCTGATTACCCTACGTCTGAGCGTATAAAATTTGTCTGCGTAGTTAACGTATGCGCGAGCGGTACTGTATTTATCAGTAATTCTTGTTTTCAGGTAAAAACATGGTTTCAAAACCGACGAATGAAGATGAAAAAAAAGCTGTTAGAGGCTAATGAACGCAGAGTTAAAATGTCTTTTCGTGACAACCTCGCTTGCATGCAGCAGACGGGACATCATGGCTATCAAGCTTACCAACCATATCCTCCCCCATGCCCACCCTCAGAGGTAACGCGTCTTCTCTGCCCAAGTCTCCCTCCACCAGAATGCTCCTGGCTGAATCAGTCGCCTTTCACTTTCCCTTCAAATCAACCGTTTCCAAGATATCTGCCACCACCGCCTCCATCTTGGGAGTGTCTTCCAGAACACATGATCAACACATGTTCCTCCATGCTAGGTGGAAGTGCGGAGTTGGAAGAAAATTGCTAACATCATATTTAACTCAAAGTTGAACTCGACTATAACATGCTTCATAAAACCTTCCATGACAAAATTTAACCCAAAGTATTGAATTTTTTTTTTGGTTGCATTGAATTTGACTTACCTACGTCCTCAAGTTTTGTCGGTACGACAGTCATCTGAAAGCTTATGACGGAAAGCGCGGAGTTGGAAGAAAATTGCTAACATCGTATTTAACTCAAAGTTGAACTCAACCATAGCATGCTTCATAAAATCTTCCATGACAAAATTTAACCCTAAGTATTGAATTTTTTTTTTTTGTTTGCATTGAATTTGACTTACCTACGTCCTCAAGTTTTGTCGGTACGACAGTCATCTGAAAGCTTATGACGGAAATAGTATGTGAATACTTCTCAGTAAATATTCACTTAAACAGTTTGTTTTGTACATAGTTTATGAATGATGTGCTGTACAATTTGTTGTTTGTAAGAATAAAATACGAGATTCCTAATTCAGGATGAGGTATTTACTGATCACAATGCAGGTGAATATTCATACTGCAGTACATCGCTGATGGTTGTTTATAACATGCCGCGCGGGCTTGTCCATTCGAATTCTTATCGTTTGTACTCTGAATTACGCGCGAATTTTGATTGGTTCTTACTTATTATCTATCAGGGGACAGATGCTAGTCGCTATTGACAAAAATGTTCCCCTGTTTTGTGTCATGAATTTAGCTGCTAAGTTACCGTCCAATTCAGCCGCGAGTTTTAACTCTTTCATGATGGTTTCCGTCCGTTCTCTTGATCTCGATTGAAATACACCTTTTGAACACAGCTTTCAAAGTAAATATGCTAATGATACTCCAGTTAGGAAAAAGTAGCGTTTGACTCTGAAAATTGATTAAAACAGGTTTGGAGTTGATGAATACATCTCGTCCAACTCTTGCGCCTCGTTTTTTCTCTCCACACCTCCTATCTCGACGAACGCCAGCTGACGCAAACACCCATAGTGAAATCTCTTATCGACGTCTAATGAATGTTTAGGCCCATTAATGCAAATTTGCCCCCTTCCACCTATGCGAGCTCGCCCCCTGAAGTAGAACCCCCAAACACATTTAGGTTAGAGTGTCGGACTTGTAATCCGCCGCTCCCGGGTTCGAGTCCCACCCTGACCACTGGATTTGTTTCACGGTAGCCCCGAGTTCAGATCCTTGGCCACGCTTGTAAATAGCCAACTGGTTTGCCTCCGGCCGGTTGGGGTTCTTAATGATGTTATGTTCAATTTAGACTATTTGTTTCATGTGTTTGCAAGGACCACAATGGAAACTACTGGTTCACCAGTAAATGTGTAATCCTATAAAAAAAATTTTTTTTTTTTTTTTCTTTACATTCCAATGAGATATGATAGATCTTGTAAAAGCGAAAGAGAAGAAGCAGCTATTAGTTAGATAGATAGATAGACACTTTATTAGGCACAGAATCCATAAAGCTAAGTCACTTATTTACAATGAAGCTGTGCATCTAAAATATTAAAAATATACACACAAATATATATATTAATACAATATAAACATTAAAATAAATAAATAAATAAATAACCCTTTGCCCGTGTTCCGTTAACAATAAATCTACGATGCCGAATTATATACATTATTACAAGTTATTTAGGCCAATAGTTATTTACAAACTCTTTAAGTATCAGGCAGCATTTTGTGGCATGACTTTGTTAAATAGTTTAGCAGCTGTATAGTTAAATGACCTGTAGCCAGATTTAAAAGTTATTTTGACCATATGTAGCTTCGCTCTATTTCTGGTATTCTTATGGTGGAAATCTGAATTATTGGAAGAAAGCCTTCTTAGATAGGGTGGATAAATTCCATTAAGACATTTAAATACAGTTAGACATTTGTGAAAGCTCCAACGTTCAAACAAGGAGACCCATCCCAGTCCACAAAACAAATTTGCGGTACGGTCTTCCCTGACCTTCTTTTGGAGAACAACCCGTGCTCCCCTTTTCTGAAGCCTAAGAAGTCTTTGAAGAGAGGTGCCATCAGCATTGGACCAGACAACCCACAATATTCCATTAAAGGCTGAACTAAAGTCATATATAAAAACTTACAGGTATTGGTATCTAAATATTTGCGAATTCTTCCCAATAAATTTAATCTACGAGTTACTTTAATTATTAGAAATGCTATTTATGTGTTCATGCATAGAAGCATCAAAAATTAAACCCAAGTATTTCACAGTGTTTGACAGCTCCAGAAGATTGCCCAATAAAAATAAGGAGAGTCCTTGTGATCTTGCGAGACGCTGTTTAGAGCCAAAAAGCATGACATTGGTTTTGTCTCAGTTTACTAGCAAGCGATTCAAAGAAAACTATTCGCCAACGGCATTCAGGTCTTCTTGTGGAGTGGATTGAATAGTTTGAATGTTTCTACCGGCAAAAAATTAGTTTATTTATCTTTCACAGTTTTCCACCTAAGGCTGAATGTTGTCTTCATTTTCCAGTGCATTAATGTTATTATAAAAAAAACACTTCGAAACTTGTTCGAATAACGGCTACTGTCCGACGATTTTTCCTCCATCACAAGTGTCTTATTAGTCGATGACGTCAGACATAAAAACGTCATAGCGAAGATTGCGGGCTCAAGAAGAAATTTGATCGAACCGACGATCACCGACGATTAGAAAGCGGCTGCTAAGATTCCTAATAGGAAACTCCGACTTTAACCTGTTGGAAAGTGAAGGTGTAGACTCCACTATTTTGAATCTGTGTCTTACCAGGTAAAGTTACCCTATTTTTTCATTGTATCAAGGTTAATGTCCCGATTCTCGTCGGAATTGAGTGTGTATTCGAAAGACGAGCTCATCAGAAATATTCAACAGAAAGCTTAACAATATAATTTTTTGTTCACCTCTTGTAATTTTGGAGTTATGTTTGTTTTTGATTTTAGATATAAAACGACTGTAAATTTAAACTTCGTGGAGTTCGATAAATGTGTCTTATACCACTAGTTGACCAAAGAATTTATTTTGAATCGCACGAGTTGTTGCTTGAATGACAGCAATTCGTTGGTATGAGCTACATGCCCAAAACTGTCCATGTGTTGAATATCTACTGGTCTATGTAGATTAATTTATAGAAATTGAGCCGGCAAGTGATGTAGAGTAGCTGTCTTTTGTGTGGCACTTTAACTAAACTAGACACATTTCCACCACACAGCACGACCTAGCGGTCTAATACTTTGAATATTTTCTTGTAACCAAAACATGATTAAAATATTGACTTCCTATGTGCGATAGAGAACAGTGACCTGGTTCATTCTGCAACAGCTTCCTGCTCAAGTGAGCTGAAATAAAATACGTTAACCATCATATGAAGCTGACATTTTCAGTTTGATATACTCACTCACCAATGCCCTTATCATCCATTTCCCGCTGTAAATATCTGTAAATATCAAAATTAGGGCTGGATTAACAAAAAAGCCAGAGTATTAGACATGAGATCACAGGGTTAAAATTTTATTATATCTCAATATCTGAAACCTTTGAAATTGCAACTTGATAGTTTTTTTGTACACACTCATTACAATACAATACAATACAATACAATATTCTTTATTTAACAAAGGTGACGTAATTAACCTAATGGGTTATCTAACTTAGGCATTCACAACTATACAAAATACACATATAACACAATGCCTAATCAGCAATATACGACTTACTACAAGAGAAACTAAAACTATACAAATATTTGGTTCAACATAGATGTAAGGTGATAAACACTAATACATTATGTGTTCATACTCATTGTTTACTTTCATGATTTACATGTATAGTCATTTGCATCTCAACAGAACTATTTCCTTCCAAAATGAATAAATGAATATTTGGCAAAAGTATTAAGAGATGCCCTCCCTTGCAAATGATTGTAGATAGATGTACAGTTAAAAAGTCAAAGCTATGCTTAGTACAAAAGGAGATGTGATATAGCATAATTATTGTTTCTTATGCTTGATTTTGGATTCAGTAAGCTCTTTAACTTCCATTCATGAGTGATCAAGACAGAATTTCTCTTACATTATCAATACAATATCAAGGAAATAATGGCTGAGAATATTTTCATTTGCATCAATCCATAAAGGGCCATTCACAATGTCTGATGAAGATCGCATGAGATCAGAGATTTCTAGAATGCAGATGAGAGGCGATGAGCTGACAGACCAGGTTTGTACTTATTACTCTTAAAACAGTAAGAGTGACCTTCATCTAATTTCTACTAAATAACTTGAATATATCAACAAAGTTGAATGGTAAATTGGCCACCGTAACAATTACAAAAGCTGACGTTTGGAGCGTTAGCCCTTCGTTGGAACCCTTCGCCTTTCGCTCTGACGAAGGGCTAACGCTTGAAACGTCAGCTTTTGTAATCGTTACGATGGCCAATTTACCACTTCAACTTTGTTGATATATCCAAGTTATTTCGTTACCCCCACCAACGCAGCCCCAAACAGTTTCTTTCGAAACTATCAGCCTTCATTTCTACTAACAGTGTTTTAAAGGAAATGATTGCCAACTAAAGGTGCTCTTGATTGTTAGACAAATTCTCCTGATCAGTTTTATAGGAAATGTATAGACAACATTATAGAGAATATGCATAGAATATTTACACCTTACTAGCTTTGGAAATAAGATTGTTTACTCCTAACATTAATATGTTAGGTGTAAACAATCTTATTTCCAAAGCTGGTATGGTTTGAAAACTGTATTTCTGACATCCATCCAGTTTGAGATTTCATATCTAGTCTATAGAGGAGTTCCTCTCAAGGTACTGTGTTAAACAGTATTTTGTGTTCAGTTGATACATCATATGTTTCTGTTAATGTTGATCTTTTTTATTTCTTAAGTCATTAGAAAGTACTCGTCGCATGTTGCAGCTTTCAGAAGAGGTGAGTGTCAAAGTACAACCCTTTATCTCCCAGATGTGATTAGCATGTGAGTTCTCCCCATAATATCCATATGTTATACAGCAAACAGGTAATGAGAATACTCAAATATATCAAGTAGGAGATTTTGTCTTGATCTAACACCAAATTCTCATAATTGATTGATAAGGCAATATGTAGCAGCCAGAGAGGAGAATTAACAATCAGATCTAAGGAGTTAAAGAGTTAAGATATGATTGTTTTCCTTTGTTAACCTGGTCTTTAATGTCAGTATAAGATAATTTGGTTTTACCAAGTAAGTTGACTGAGTTTCTAAAACTGACATTTTGACTATTAGGAAAATGGATCTTGGTATTAATCTGCATGATAGCAGTGGCAGAGTGAAATAGCCTGGGAGGTTTGGGTTGAGTTGGGTTCGTTATGCAACTCAATCCAAACCTCACTCTACAACTACTTTACACTGTTGACTGGCACACTCTGTTTTACAAACTTTATGCCTGGAATAAGCTGTAATGCAAGGCATGGGCAATATTTGACTAACATGCATTTGTATTACATAGGAAAGGAAATCTTTCAATCTTCAAAGCTGGGGTTTAGTAAAAATGATAATGCTAAAAGAGTACTACCAGGAATCACTCTTATCCTTGTGGCATGTTCTATTATTTTTCTAGAGTCAAGAGGTGGGAATGAAAACACTTGTGGCACTAGATGCACAGGGCGAACAGTTAGATAGAGTTGAGGAGAACTTAGATCAAATCAATGTTGACATGCGCGAGGCTGAGAGAAACTTGACAGGACTCGAAAAGTGCTGTGGATTGTGTGTTTGCCCGTGGAGAAGGTCTGATGTTCTTGTCCTCTGTGTATTCTGATTTGTCAAGAATTATTGTTTTTTTCTATTATGATTACTCTACACAAAGTCATCATAATACGAAGAGTCATTTGACTTTAGAATGCCAGGAAAAGTTGCTCTGAGCTTAGGAGACAACCCTACCAATGGCCATATCAGGAATATTGAGAAGGGAAAAAAATAAAAAAAAGTGAAAGAGTGGCAGAGTTATGTAAGGTCGCTCTTAAATTCTTTGACTCACTGTCATGAAGTATGGACTAAGGACCAAATATTTTCTATTTTGATGCTCTCACTTAGTTCTATGAACTTTAACCCCCTAAGAGTGATGAACATTAAATTTCTCCTTACAATATCACCCCTGAATTACACATCAAGGTCACGAGAATAAAGGAAGTGATCACCAACTGAACAAGCTCTTGATTGTTAAACAAATTCTCCTTGTCAGCACCCTAGGAAAGGTATAAAGAACAGTATGGAGAATATGCATACTTATGTTACATATTGTGTACTCATTTTCAAACTTCCCTTTTTACAATGTTGTGATTTTTCTGAAGAAATAAAAAATAACTTAAGAACTCACTTTGGTGATCTCATGGCTGATTGAATAGTTGCCATTCTTGAACTTGTAATTTTTCCACTCAGCTACATTGGTTATTGTCAAACAGAAAACTGTTGATGTTAGGGAACTCTTCCCTGACTTAAGTTTTTGATTTGGAAGTGACTTTGTTTGTTTGTTTTTTAATTTTTTTCGTTAGGCGGAAGAATTTCGAAAACAGTGAAATGCACAAGAAAGCCTTTAAGGATAGTGATGATGGAGCCATATCTACCCAACCAGGTTAATATCAGATTAATTCACTGTGTTAAAAGTGATTGGGGGGTGGGGGTGGGGGGACTGGACTGTGGTTCATGAGGTTGGAATTCCAGATCAGGCAGGCTGAGTAACTCTGTTGTGTTCTTGGGAAAAACACTTTACTCTCCCAGTGCCTCTATACACCACAGAGTAGAAATGGGTACCAGATAATAGTCAGGGAAGCTGGACGAAATGCGGGGAGGGGAGGGTAGGGTAGACTGGTATCCCACCCAGGGGTGAGTAGCAATACTCCCAGTGGCCTCATGCTAGAGAAGCCAGGATTGTAAGCTTGTGGTTCGACCTTGTTGAGCTGCGTCGTTGCTGTACTTTGCAACAGCGATTAGCCGTGACAATTATTATTATTAGCTTCAGCTGGATGAGCTAATTGGCTGAAGTGTAGACTCTTTTTTTTTTTGACTAAGTGTGAGTCTTTTTGAGGGTAGTCCTGACTGGAAAGAATTGCAGGAGATAGAGAGACCTAATGGTTACTGCCCGGTTGAATGGTCGGGGTTCAAGACCTGAACAGATCAATATGTTGAGTACTTGGGAAAAACACCTTACTTTTGACAGTGCCTCTCTATACCCAGGAGCACTAGAACATTTTCAGGAAAGTAGCAAAGCTTGATGAAAGGTGAAAGGGTAACCTTGCAATGGATCAGCATCTCATCCAGGGGCTTAGTGCCATGGAAGTGGAAATAAGCTCTGGCCAGATATGCCAAAAGAACTGTTGTCAGTGATAAAGCTCATGCTTTGACCAGCTGGGGAATGTTTTTAGTCTAGTACTTAGGTGTGTGCTAATATTTGTAATCACACAAGACTGAAGAATCATGTAATAGACAAGATTACTTTTTAGGAGCCAGATATGCACAAGACGGAAACCGTGGAGAGACAGCGAAAAGTGGATACATACAAAAGTAAATAAGTTTGCAATTTGTCTCTTTTAACTCCCAGAAGTGATTAGCATGTAACTTCTCCCTAAAATATCCACACATTATCCAGCAAATGGGTAATGAGAATACTTAAACATATCAGGTAGACTGTTATCTTGATCTAACACCAAATTCTTGTAACCAACTTAGAAGGAAATGTGTAGTAGCAAGAAGGGAGAATTGAAAATTAGATCTTGAGTGTTAAAAGGATTAACTGAAATAGTTGAAACCTTTCAAAGTAACTATGAAATTTAAGCGCTGCAAATATAGTTCTGTTAGGCCAACTTCTGGTTCCATTCAGGTGATATTGTGTCACAGGTTGTGTTGTTTTGTTTGGAAGGAAAGAATTGAGGGTAACTATCACCAAAAATTTGATGGGTTTACATGTAGGTCTCGTTGTGAAGGAGATGCGGTCTTAAATTATGTAGTTAACAAATGGTAAACACCACAGCGTACACTATTGAGTTATGGATGCACGCGGGAGGTTGCTAAGCACGAAAGAAGCGTAAGAGTCGCTCGAGGCGATAGTCGAGAGCGACTCTAGCTTCTTGAGTGCTTAGCAAACCTCCCAAGTGCATCCATAACTCAATAGTGTACGCTGTGGTGTTTACCATTTGTTTTATAACATAACATTCATACAATCATTGTAGCTAAAGAGTTCCCTTTCATTTAAGAAATCCTACGTGACCAGAAAAGACAAGCGCGCGTGGAAAAATAGTCTTTGCATTTGCTCACGTCAGCAGCGTACACCCATGGGCAAATGGGGGACGCTAAATTGACCAATCAGAGCGCGCGCTTTACTTTGGTTACCTTATAATTTTAATTAAAGTGTGAAATGTTTTGCAGGATAACAGGAGATGATAGAGAAGATGAAATGGATGAAAATCTTGGGTGAGCAGTGAAAAACGTAACTTACACCTTAAATTCTCAGGTTTAATCAACCGTGTGTTGCAGAATTCACAAAAATAAGGATCAGGGCGGTTTACGATTGAGTGTCGTAAAACTAAAACCAAAGTAATCACAACAGCCAATCAGAAAAAAGGAAATTATTGCAAGAAGCCAATGAGAACTCAAAATAAAAACAACCAAATTGCCTAAAGCGCGGGAAAACAACCAAACTGGCTAAAGCGCGGGAAAACAACCAAATTGCCCAAAGCGCGGGAAAACGCGGGCGACCCGTGATTGCATCTGATCTGATTGGAAGAGAAGGTGGTGCGTGTTTTCTCGACCAATCACAGAGCAAAGTGGTCTGGGTGACATGTAAAACGATGCTCTCAACTTTGGGTAACCCCTGGCAACTTGTTTAAGCCTGGCACTTATTCAGATTTCCAGGGTATAGATTTTGTGAATAAGTGCAGTAATAAATATATTAAGATAACAACGAAGGGGTTTTAATGAAAGCCGCTTACCGGCGGTCTATGTTGCCTCTCACCGCTATACCATCGAGGGCCGCTTATGGAAAAGGTGATAACGATAAAACAACATATAAATTGCTGTGGAAACGGAACATGAGGCAGTGGCTTTCTTAACCAGGCGTTGTAATATAGATTCTCTCTGACGAAGGGCTAACGCTCGAAACGTCAGCTTTGAATCCCTTTACAGTGGCTAATTTACATCAACTCAGCTAATAAAACCAAACTACGTTGTAATATAGGTCGGTTAGCAAACGTATTTGCAAGTTTTTTTTTTTCTCTTAAGTGTTTCATTTGTTATTTTATTGATGAAAAGGCAAGTGGCCAACATTGTCGGAAATCTGAAGTCAATGGCGATGGACATGGGAAATGAGATTGACACCCAGAACAGGCAGTTGGATCGCATCAATGCAAAGGTATTGAAATATTTCATGTTGAAATTCTCCTCTTGAAAAAATAAGGAACACAATAATAATGATTACTGTCACTGGATAGGATGGCCGCTCTTCCTCAATGTAAGTTTGACTACAGGAGGCACTTATGCGTACTTATGCGAAGCACTTATGCGAAGCACTTATGCGAAGCACTTATGCGAAGCACTTATGCGTACTTTACAGTGCCCACACAGGCACAGTGAAGAATTTGCGCGTAATCTTTTACACGCACTTTCGTGTATTTCTTTTACTGGCACGTAATACGCGCGTAGTTAGCTTGTAAATTGCGCGCTCTATGGCGGATTAACACGCACGATACGCGCGTGAGATGCTGCTATCCCCGCGACCAGTACTGTAGCTCAAGGTTGTATGACTTACGAACGGACCACATAACATTTTCTTGAACAACCCTCACACTCAGTTCGTAATTACGTCTTACGCGCTCTTTTATAAACTTGCCTCTTAACAATGTCCTGTTGTTTCTTGATGAACAGCCTTACCCTGTCAAGAGAAATAGACTTCTTCAGCCTGTATGTTTTGTTTACCCACAGCCATGATCATGTGACAATTCTCTATAGAATTGTAAACTTTAAACAAAACATACAGGCTGAAGAGGTGTATTATATTTAGAGCAATTTCAATTGAGTTGCGAAAGTAATCCGGAACAACTTTGGTTTTGCTTTATTTCGCTCTGTGATTGGTCTAGAAACGCGCGCCACCTTTTCGACCAATGAGATGCAAAACTAAAACCAATCACGACTTGGTCGCCCGCGCTTTAGGCAATTTGTTGTTTCTTAAATGTGACTTTTAGTTCTCATAGGCTCTTGTAGGTATTTTCCTTTCTTCTGATTGGACGCTCAATCGAGAAGCACTCTGCGCTTTTTCTAGATTTACTGATTGTTTGATTGATTGATTTCAGGCGGAAGCAAACGATGTCCGCATCCAACAGGCAAACACGCGGGCACGGGATATCTTAAGGAACTGTTGAATGGCAGAATCGAGGATGTTGTCATTGTTCTTCTAGTCTTATCCAAGTTAGTAATGTTAGCACTGAGTATAGTTTTTTTGCCAAACCTGAATTACGATTGCAATGATATTGAGACTTCCACAACAGGGGAACATAATAAAAAATTGGTTCAAAGAAATTCATTCAACCTTATTTTTAAAATTTGTGTAATTAAAGGCCTTTCACCATTACAAAATTTAGTCTCTTCCTTTTAAGACAAAACAGACCGCTGTGAAAAAAGTTTAAAAAGCAAGGATAAAAAAGTGTTTACGATCGTGGCGTTAAAAGATCATTGTTGTTGAAAGCTAGAAGGGTAGATATCTTTGTTACAATGTGTAGCCAAGTTTGAATATAAGGAATGGTATTTCGTAAGACACATTCAAATGTTTTTCTTTGCTTTAAAGAAAGACTTAGAATTAGTCATATTTTACATTTATCTACAAAGACAACAATTCGATTTTGTTCTTAGTATATATTGTAACAATCTCCAGCGACTGTATCAGGACAAAGGAGCCAAAGGAAATTACTTTTGTTGAAATAAACCTAATGCCTCAAAAAACATCTGGAATTCTTTATGGGAAAAGGGAGGGTGGGGTGGGGGGACACGTGACTCACGGAGGGGGATGGGGAAGGGAGATATGTGGGCTAGGGGGTTAGGACTGAGGTTAATCAGGAATGGGAAGGTTTGTCCCATGTTGAGCATGATCTTAGTTCCCTGCAATATTCTTTGTGATAATTTATAGATATAGGTATGGATGGAACACTCGCTCCTTCCTTCGTTTGATTCCTGCCTACTTTTCCCATATCCGCTGACCAGTATATAAAGCGTTAGCAGTCGCATGCGCCCAAGTCGAAAAAAGATTTATCCACAAAGTGATTTATTTCAGAGGGAATGTTTCTCATTCGTGGATCGTTTCTACACGATCGACAGCGTATGATTTTTAGCCAGCAGTTCCCACTGTTAAACTAATTCAATGTTGTTCAGTGGAAGTAGCGCCCTGTAAGTGATTGACCAGCCTGCAGAGCAGGCGTAATTTGGACGAGCGAGTGGTCAGTAGTTTCTCAAACTCGCCATAATAAGACGCCAGCACTGCAGGCCAGTGATTGACTTGAGCGAAGCACCAGGACACATGCAAGTCGCATGTAAGCTACGATTGTAAGGGAAAGTCTTCAAGGTTCTTCCTCCTCGATTCGATTGTATGGGAAGGTCGTCATAGTTTTTCCTTCGCAATCCTATTTGACACTAGTGAAAAACTAGGGCTCCGCAAAGGCTTACATATTTTGAGTTCGAAATCGATCGACGTGCTGAACGCATTCTCGAATGATTAATTTGCTCCAGAACACAAGCATCGAAAAGCTAAACGCTGTCTTTCCCTTTGGTTAGTTAGAATTTAATTGAGGACCAGTTATTCTTTATCGCCTGGGGGTGGGGGATAAGGTGGTTTTCACAGGGAGTGAGGGGGGCGGGGGAATCTGTCGTCGTGGACAGAGTTTAAAGGTTGGGACTTATTATTGCTTGGAAATGAAAATCCAAACAGTAATAAAATTAGAGAAACCTGCTTCCGCTTTTACCAACTGCTAACAGTTTTTCGTGACAAAAGCAGATTTAAAAAATACCATTAAGTGTACTTTGACGTATTTACATGTCACTTTAGGTAGCAACTTTCACTGACGTTTCTCAGGAAACTCAAAAATGATTAATAGCCCTTCGAATGCGACATGCTTTCATTGTTCATCAAAGGTCAATTTCTGTTTCTATTCTTAGTAGTATTCGGCTGAACAAATAAAAATGGTAGACTAAGTACAAAATTTTAATTTCGAGATTGTACTTCTTAGAAGCCGTCAAACTGACAAAATGATTAGACCATAACATCCTCACGTCGGCCCTTCTAATTGAGAAATTTCCATGTGAGCTTGCTTTCTCCTGACAGAGGAATGACCCAAAACAAATTGGAATTCGATTTTTCCTTTTTTATTCACTAATTTTAACATTTTCGCGTTTTTCTTCTCAGATATGATCGTATGTAAAGTAAACCATTGTCATTGCTTGTGCTTAAATATTCTTTTGAAGTGTGAAGTGAGCGACTGATTTGCTAAGTTAGGTTCCGCTAAAATGGCAACAATGATACATTTTAATTTTTCTTTTGCTTCTCAAATGTAACTAAGAATTAAGATAACATCTGATAGCTCCAACATGAAAAAATTGGCAGTAGCTTGAATGTTAAAGCTGGCCTGAAGCTCTTGAGTCCTTTCATGTCACTTTTCTGAATTAATTTCCTAGTGCGGGTGTTTCCCCCCTCATGTGATCAATACGCTCGACTTGCATTATTTGCGGCTCTTTCGCTGTTATTACTCACCTCAGTTCAGAGATACGGATTCAACTTGTGATGTAATTAGTTCGTATTCGTTATTGTTTCTTTCTCAGAAGAATCCGATTCCAAACCCTTCCTTAAAAATTTTATTCCGAAAGCACATTTTCCATATATTTGCTTAGAACCGTAAAAATGGGCCGTTAAAAAAAAAACTGAAGCTAAATTTATCCTTTGGAACTGACAAAATGCAAATTTCTTGGAGCCAAGTGGTATATTTCAAAACCACAAACACCGATTTTGACTTCTTCTACAATGGAAATTGTGATTCAGAATCACAGTATGTGGTCAGCGCATTGGCTGTGTCACATCGGAAACGGCATGTAAGGGTGCTACCGGAGTATTAAGTAATCCGCAGGAAATTCTCGTAGTGGCACCCGACAAAATTAATTGTTTACTCAGTTGAAACATTGCAATTTCTTGGGCGAAAATTTTGAACAACAAAAAAACGCATGCTTTCAACTTTGGTACGTATTTGTAACATTTTTGCGGCACCAAACAGTTTTAGAATAAATATTGATCCAATTATACAAAATTCGAGCGTACATGTTTCTATTCAGAAATACCAACATGTGGTTAACGAGTTAAAACTGCTCTCATATTTTAGTTTTTTTTTTTTGTAGTTGTTTTAGTCCGTCTTCTTCCCTTCTTTTTAGCGCAACTTTTTACTTTTAAAAATCATAATTGTATTTCTTAATTTTGGAGTATTTCATAACCTTAGCAGCATTTTCCAGATGCACCTTTTTTTGACAAGTTTTTTAATTATAGCTTGAGGCCACGAGGATATATATTTACATTAATTCTCTGTAGGACTGTAGAAGCTCTTAAAGGCTTAAAATGTATTTTCACACGAGGGTTTTTTTCCCACTAACATTTGACGCGCTTGATTGATTGACACGTCTGCAGTCTCGTGTTCTATATAAAAACCATTAGCTTAAAAAAAAAAACCGTTAAGATCTGGAAACCGATCTGAACAAATTCTCGCGTCGAGACAATTAATAGACCACGAGCAAACAATTTACAATAATTCTATAGGTTCATTCGATATTTCTCGAACTGCTTAGTTGGTTGACCAGTTTACAGTTCATCGAAGCGAGAAGCATAACTTTCTTTTTAAAGGACTTGAAGTGTGGCAAGTTGAAGCGCAAATCTTCGGTGGAATTTACGAAAGACCAGACTGCTATGAATAACACTACTGGAGTTGTAGTAAATTCACCAAGCGAATCGGAGACGCTAAGAGCAATGAAGATGACATTATATGCAACAATTTTTATTATAGGTATTAGTGGGAATACATTGGTTTGTCTGGTCGTTTGTCGACAGCAAAAACTTCGCACGTCAACAAATTTCTACATTATGAACTTAGCCGTGGCAGATTTAGCGGTAACTATAGTCTGTATACCTTTTGATGTTGCTGTACAAGAAAACGGTTATGTCTGGCCGTTTGGAAAGTTCCTTTGCCACATTATTTATCCGATTATGACCATGTGCACTTTCGCTTCTGTGGGAACACTCACAGCGATCGCTTACAACCGATATACTGCCATTTCACGCCCGATGAGAATGCAGGGAGGACGAAAATGGGCAAAAGTTACCATAGCTGCAATTTGGACTCTCTCTCTAGTTTTCGTCTTGCCATACATTATCGTATTAACGACGAAAAATTCTCACTGTGTTGAGAACTGGTCTACACTCCACAGTCGCTTGTACACGTGGTTTATTTTCATTTTTCAGTATGTTATTCCTTTATCTATAATTTCTCTGGCTTATGTGAAAATCGCGCAGCAGTTACGGATTAATCGCAATCATCTGACACCGGTCCACCGGGTACAGGAGCGCGATGTATCCAAGGTGGTTCGCATGCTGGTGGTGGTTGTTTTAATTTTTGCTGTATGTATGCTTCCAAATCATATTCTCTGGCTTCTTAGTGACTTCCATAAGGATTTTCCCGAAGCAGGGCGCAAAGTGTACGTATGGGGAGAGATTTTGATATACGCAAACAGCTGCACGAATCCAATCGTGTACAGTATATGTATCGAGGAATTTCGCGTTGCTTTTAAAGCCTATATCACGAAGTGCTGTCGAGTGACCGACGAAGACCTAAGGCCGGTAAGAAACATTTTAGAGAGAATTTCCATGAGGGAAAAAAGTCAGGTTTCTCAAGCCGACAGAATGCTGGCCAGGCAACTAAGTCGCAGGCTACGGGGTTCATTTCAGCGAACTCAATCGTTTGAAAGTCGGGCGAGCCTACCGAGAATTTTCCGATCGAGGACGAGTCGCTCGAACATATTGGGTGGAGAATTGCCTCAACTTTTGGATAGGATGCTTCCCCCACTTTCCCCGTGTTCGCCAAACACAGACACAGGGCGAAACACTCCCAATCCCGAAGCTATTGGCAATGTGTTAGCGGTGACTGCAGTTTGAAACGATAACAGAAATTAGTTCCCAGTTCGAACAATTAATCTGCAAAAGCGCTGGGTGGAAGATTTTGATTGATAAAACCATTGAACTGTATGTTTTTGAAGATTGTTGTTGTCCTTTTTTCATGTAAAGAGAATTATATCTTTTGCTAGCCTAGACATAGAATAGTTTATCTACTCATTTGAAGATTTTTTTCTGGAAAATGGGAAACAATACTGGCAGCTTTAAGTGCAATCGAGTTTTGAAGATTAGTTCTTTCAGGTGGGACAAGATTCCATGTTCAGGTTCTAAATCATAGTTATATTTGGTCAACGAGAGATAATCGTTCACCATTTTGAACATTTTACTGATAAGCTGAGTCGAGATAGGTTTCATATGACGTAAAAAATTATTTATTTATTTAAGAACAGGCAGATTTCGAAAATACTGTCAGCTCTTGGTTAAAATTATCACAATATGGCCAAGCTCGACTCAAATGCTTCTCCTAAGGCTTACAAAATTGGTTTGAAATGACGTCAAAAGTTACTTAGTTATTTATTCATTGAGAAAACGGTAGATTAATCATGTATATTGAACCATGAGAATTGTGTTTTTCCAAGTTTTAATAAGAAATGGTTAATTTATCCTGTAATAAAAACCTCAGAGAACTTAAACATGCATGGAGATATCTCTTTCATACACTACCGTCAAATTAGAAATGAGGGATTTTAAAACAAACCCTATTTACAGCTACAGTTAAAGGTTTCTGGAATACATATGTACGTTTAATCTTTCCCGTTCGGAGGAAAAAGCTCTCACGTAACGTTTCCAGTTCTTTTTTTCTTTTTCTTTTTCTTTTCACTTTCTGAAAGTATTAGATATTCAATGGAAAGTTAGAATTTAGATTTAACTTATTAAAATTGAATTTTACACTTAAGTGCATTAATGAACAAAGCTTCAACGCTCTTACGTAGATTAAAATTCAACTTTTCGCGGAAAATGTTCTAGTGCTTTCACAATTCGGTGCTAAATAAACACAGTAAACAAACATTAGGCGACATCGAAAAGAATAATGGAGCAAAAACTAAGTGCATGAAGTGAAATAAAGTAAGTAAGAAAAGAAAAAAATAAAAAGCTTAGGAACACGATTAACAGCTTAAGGCAAGGCTGTTAATCGAGTTCTTTAGATCAAATTCTGCAGACATCATTAAAAATGCTCTTTGAAGTTTTTCGGAAGAAAACACCTAAAAGCGATCGTTTTGATTTTCTAGAACACTCTTCGTTGCGTTCAGGTAAAAAGCTATACGGAATTTCCCTTGTGAAACAAAAGGTACCTCAATTCTCTGATCTCACCCAATTTAGTGAAAGAATTAAACTTGTAAAGGTCAAGGTGTATTCTTAGTAATGTGTGAAACCATTCGTGGTAGTGCAATTATTCAATCAGATTGTCTCCAACTGTATTTGTCCGAGCATCAATAATTAACACCACGAAATGTCTAGTTAGTAATTTGGATCCTAAAATCATTCTTGTCAACTCCTTCAGCTGCAGGGCTGACAGTAGGCCCTTTTGTTTAAATCCCACAGGGATCAATGAACGCTTTTCATTCCACTAATTTATTCATGTTTTTCTCCTTGCCATGCACCCACCAATAACGTAGCTCCATTTTCTGCCTTTAAAAGCACACACAACCCACAATTCCTCTATTCGCTCCGACGAAGGGCTAACGCTCGAAACGTCAGCTTTTGTAATTTACCATTTCAACTTTGTTGATATATCCAAATTATTTCGTTACTCCCACCGACGCAGCCCCAAACAGTTTCTTTCGAAACTATCAGCCTTTATCCTTTTGTGTAAGTTTGCCTCCTAAATCCACAAGGATTTAGAATTTGGAATACCTCACGAAGTTTACGCTCCGATGTACGTAAATACTTGAATCCTTTCATTTTCGTGTGATACACTCTCAACCCCAGGTGTGGTAAGGCCATTTTACAGAGTCTAAATATGATTCAATTCACTCACTGCCTACATTAATTAAAGATAAAATGTTGAGATTGAAGCGTTGTCTGTTTTAGAACCCAGAGGGCGACAAAATGTAGCATATGCCACATGTTCATGTATCGTACCTCTATATTCAAAGTTTGGCGTGCTCCTAGTGAAACGCAAAAATACCATCGGCCAACTCGAGTACGTTATTGGCTCATGACAGTCCAATGACCTAGTAAGTATAACTAAACCTTTTAGGAAGTTACACATGTACAGTGCTGTCATCGTCAGATCTTAAATTAAAGGTGCTATATCACAGTTTGCGCATGGTGATTTTACATCGCCATTTTGTAATCTGAATTTTCCTTTCGTAGATTGCCGGATTGTTTACTCAGGCAGAATGTAGTTTTATAAAAAAAAAAAGAAAAAAACAAAAAACAAAAAAAAAACAGGAATACCCAAACGCACCGCCAATCCTTAGTATTGTCTTCACTCTCGAATAAGTTTTCTCTTAAACAATATATTTTTTGCTGCTTTTTTCGTTGCGGAGGTTCAAATGCAACAACACATCAATTTATTACAAAAGGACACCCTTGTAATCTGATGTTTAAAAATTACAGGAGGCCTCTAGCACTTCAAGGCATATAAACTCATTTTACGGCTGTAAAATGAACTGAGCTAGGTCATTATTTAAGTTTTTCGTACATTCTACAGCCTACGCGTACATTTAGTCGCCGTTTGATTACTCTAATCAGCCCCAAGCCTTGAATCAACAGATTTCATTCAACCCACCTACACTCACGCGAGCATTTTTCGAACAAAAAACTTCATTAAAGAAGTGTGTTCGTTCTCGATTTTAATTTCTCCGAAACTGTACCTAACTAACACGTTCTACATTGTTTTTTTCTGACTCAACCTCTCCCACAGGAATGGAAAGAAAAGACTCCTTGCGCGAACAAATACTGTTTAAAGCTTAAAGGTTTTGTAAGGAATAACAAAGTCAGAATTTCTCTTAGGAACAGTTTACTTTTATTAAGTTGAAATCGCCCCATATGGTTCAAGGTGTAACATTTTACGAAATTAGATTTGCACCTACAACGTATCGTTCCATCAATACTTCCTGCTAAAAACATATCTTGAGGAAAATGGTGACACGCCCATACGGCTAATTAAGAGTTGTACTTCTTAAAGATTCTTTTTCTTTGTTTGAAGCAAGAAAAAAAAAAAAAAACAAAACAGAATTTAACCCGCAAATCAAAAAGTACAGTAATTAATAACTTAGTTTTGAATTTTCTGTTTTATGGATCAATTTTAATATGTATTGGTAAAATTGAGAGGATACCAGCAACAGACTGCATTCGTTATTGATACAGCGCGAACTCGAGAAAGTTAATTAAAGCGTTAATGAGTATTCACTCTGTATCTCAAGTTCTTTTCTTGGGCTATTCGAAACTTCTTTTCAGGTATCCAAAATGTGCATTTACGTGTCACAGTTACGATAATTAAGTTGCATATTGTCTCCACTCAATTTAAGAAAATCTGCCCTGATCGATTATAGAATGTTAAATTGAAAGGGCACTAATGTGTTCTAACACATTAACATCTCCTTGGGAGTTTACTGTCTGAAGGTTCGGTCTCCTTGACATTGATTTTTTTTTTATTTTTTAGTCTATTTCATCATGCAGCTTAGTTTTAATTATTTATTTATTTTTAAAATGAATAAATGCCTGGAGTAATCTTGAGGCCCCAAGTACTTCCATGCAAAACACTGTTTTTTGCTGTGTTCGGAAGTAAAGTTAAATTGGGCCAGTTGCATGTTTTGACTGTGGCATGTCGCTTCGAAGTCTGATAGACATTTACGGTGAAAAGTGTTTTGGAAAATTAGTTGCTTCAAGGAAGTGTTTTTATAACAGGAATCTTTGAGGGGGTATTTTTGTTTTCAGACACCAAATATCTACCTTTGCGAAGGTCAAGGTGTAGATAGCAAATAAGAGATCGTTATTACTAATTAGGAGAAAACGTTAATGGAGTTGAACGTTTAGCTGATTGTCAGTGGCTGCTAGAGCTAAAATATTACGACGAGAGATTAGGCGAGCGCTTATTTTTCCAATTAAAGTAATCTCCTTTAAGTGTGTGAATTGTAAACTTTTTAAGTGGTGTCATCAATACGGACCTCAAGCTGTCATGACGGCAAAAGCCCAGGGAAGGAGTAGATTACAAAATGAATCTGTGTTTTGAGTTATAAGATTGCAAGTAGCAAAATGTATTTATCATCTCTTTTAGCGGCACACCTCAAATGGAAACTTAAATGATTTGCCGTCGCTTCGGTTTTCAGGCCATGCAAATCTTGGTGATTTCTCGTTGTTTTTTTGGCAGACGAAGGCTAAGATTTGTACAAAGCTTTGAAATGGACTTGCTGAGCTATTTTTGTCACGTCCTCGTTGCCGTTGCCGTCGCCGTCGTGGTTTTATTAATAGGGACCTTAAGAAACCACGACGGCAACGCCAAGGAAGACTTCGATTAAAAAATGAATTTCTACTCCTAGTTAAAATTTTAAAAATGGCTGCAGGAGCTTACTGTCTCAAACGGCGCCACAGCTCAACTTCAGCATGACGTATAAAGTAACCGTTGAGTTCCAAATGGAAATTAAATAATTTGCCGTCGCGGTTTCGGTTCGTAGACGACGCAACAGTTTGGCGATTTCACGTTTTCGTTTCGGCTAAGAAATGTACAAAGTTTCAAAATGCACGTGCTGAGCTATTATTCTGCCAATTAGATCTCTTGTTTTTCCACGTCCTCGTTGCCGTCGCCGTCGTGGTTTCTTAAGGTCCCTAATGGGGAACTTAAGCAGTCACCAAGGCAACGCCACGGAAGACGTCGATTAAAAAATGAGTTTCTACTTTTAGTTAGAATTTCGAAAATGGCTGCATGTGTTTACCACCTCATAGGGCACCAGACCTCAAACTCAACATAACGCATAAAAGTAGCGTTGAGTTCCAAATGTAAATTAAAATAATTTGTCGCCGCGGTTTCGGTTCGC